TGCAGGGCAGAAGCTGTACCCACCCTTCACCTGTATTGCTGCAGCTCCACGTCCTGGGGAAGGGACCTGTTCCTCACCTTGTTTCTTACAGGCCTACCTTCTAGTCTCTGATGGAAGGTATCACAAAGCCAGGAACCTTTTCAGATGCAAAACAACTTGTTTATGGCAATTATATGCCAAAATCATGAAAGCAGAATACAAATTGGGAGAGAGCCAGGGATTTTGCTCAGTGGCACCACATCTGCCTTGCAAGTGCAAGGTCCCGAGTTTGATCCCCATAAGGGCGGGGGTGGACGGGGTGGTGGTGGTGGTGTGTGTTACAAGTTAGGAAAAAAACCAGTATGGTATAGGCTGGGAAAATGAGATATAATAAATTATCTGTAACATATGTAAGCTAACTGCAACCTATTTCACATGTTAATTCTTTTGGGTCATGCTTCTTCTTTACTATACCAGAGTTATATTCCCAGCCCATTTGCATCACACTTCTAATTTCTCATCCAAACTAAGAGTAGCTTCAACACATAAGTACATTTGTGTGTATAAACATTAACAACTTCTTGTGGATTAGAGAAATGACATCTAATAATCTCAACTTTCATAAAAAGTAAGTATATGTGTCCCTAATACTAATAATGCCGCCAGTGATTTAGCTGAACTAAAATAATCTTTTTGAGATTAGTTTCAGGTTCCAACTGTGCTATTAAGGAAAATATAAGATTACAGAAACAATTATTTTAAGAGAAACATACAACAGTCTTCATTTAAACTTGTGATCCCTGCTGAGATTTATGCTTCAGTGAGCCATACAATGAAAACACTACAAAAGATCTGCTCACGTGACAAGCTACACTGCTGATACTCTGGTCGCCAATGAGTGCAGAAGATGATGAGCTTATCACCGACTTCCACACACAGACAGAATGAGCCCACAGCTCTCCAGTCTGCCATTCCCTGCTCACCATAAGCAGCAAACCTCACTGTCATTTTTCTAGGCTGGTAAGCCCCATCAGGTGTGATGTAGCAAAAGAGTATTTATGTACTATAAACACATTTTCAATAAAAATAGGATTCTGTATAATCGGAAAGAACATTTACAAATTTTTTTTTTTTGGTACAGGGGATCGAACTCTGGACCTTGCGCTTGTGAGGCAAGAGGCAGAACCACTGAGCTAAATCCTCGGCCCCACATTTACAAACTTTTAAGTTTTCTTTTTATAAAGCTAATGCATTTATTGAAGACCATTTTGAAAATAAATACAAAAAAGAAAAAAATATCTCAAATACCCATTATTAAAATTAATATTAAAAAATAATGAATAACCAAGCATATTTGTCTGAAGGGAAATGATAATCTCAGGGATAGGTCATTAAAGGCCTTCCACTCATGACTGTGGTTGAAGTCTGCCCACAACTAGCACCCACTGCCAGATACTCTACCCTAAAAACACCAGCATGAAAGGTTAACCCCTCCTCCAACTTCAATCTTACTACAAAAAACTTCAAACCTAAAAAAGTTGAAATCATCGTCTATTATGGCTGTATTTAGATGTCCCCCCAAAGCCTCATGCAGTCTTAGGAGGGACTTTTTCAAAGGTGTCTGAATCTAGAGTGTGTGATTGATTCATGGTACAATGCTAGGCTAGAAGGCACTAAGATTAAGGGTATGAGTGCTACTTACCTTAAGTAGTCTGAATAAGATAAAAGGGGCAGAAAGATGCTGTCTCGTTTTTGCTGCCTTCCACTACCATGAACTACTGCCCCTTTGCCATGCGCCAAGAGCTAAGTAAGCCTTTCCCCCTTTATCATTGGGTGTCAGGTATTTTATCTCAGCAAAAATAGAGAAAATTTAAAAAAAAAAAAAAGTAAAAAAAAAGTAAAGTAAAAAAAGAGAAAAGTAACTAAGAAACCATCCAAATCACCTGGCCTCACCAACTGCTCAGATTTTGCCTGACTTGGGTACTCGATATCCATACTTTTCCCGTTGCTCTCAGATCACTTCAAAGTACAGTACAATGCAGGTACCATGACAGCACACCTTTAACACTGCAGCATGTATTTCCTAAGAGTAAGGACATTCTAAGGAATATAACTTATAGACCAATAAAATAAAGGGCAGACTCTGTAAACCTGTGACTAGCTGAAGCACTGAAGTATATTTTCCTCTTCTTTGTTCCATACCATGTGACTCCTTCAGGGATAGTTTTGCAACCTCAGCGTCAAAGACACCTGGGCCAGGTCACCCTTTCCTGCGCACTGCAGGATGGTGACCAACACCACCATACCTCTACCCATAGATGCCACTATCATCCCCTGGCCAGCTGTAACTGAAAGTATCTCCTCAAAGGGAACTGCTCCAGTGAAAAAACCCTGCTCTTTGGGAACAAGAGCCCAAGTCCCTATGAGAAGCAGCAGCAGTAATAGCAGAAGACAGCCTGTAATGGCCACCTGGCAGCAGGTTCTAAGCAATCTGCACGTGTCAAGCCGTTTACCCACAAAACAATCCTCTGAACTGCCAAGCACAGCACCTCCTTACAGAGGAGGAAAGAGAAGCAGTGAGGGCAATGCATCATGTCACAGCCATTAAGTGGCAGAGCAGGGATTCAAGCTGAGCCATGCTGGGCCTGCATGGGCCCTCATACCCCTGCTCACTTCCAGGGGCATCATCACCTCTCTCCTGCTGAGACCAATCTTCCTGAGAATCAACCCTCCATCAGGCTTCAGATCTTTTTGGACAGCACCCAGCATAGTGTGTGTTCCTAGTCTCCTTGGAAGGTTACTTTCCCCGCAGGAATCACACACGTCTCGGTTAGAGTCTGCCCATGCTGGTTCTTAGCAGACAAGGACGACTTTCACTGCTGACTGGCTCCAGCCCCAAAGGAGCTTACCAATTAGTTAACAGACACAAATGCTTACAGCAGTGCTTCACCCACAGTATGTTAAACAGAATACTAGTGTTAGCTTTTCTCTCCTCACTAGTAAGGCAGTGTCTAAGGGCAGGCATCTTCATTTTGTTTTGTTTTGGTACTGAGAATTCAACCCAGGGCCTTTGTACTGAACTGTATTCCCAATCCTTCTTTTAAATTTCATTTTGAGACAGGGTCTTGCTAAGTTGCCCAAGCTGGGCTCAAACTTGTAATTCTCCTGCCTCAACCTCCCACGGTGCAGGGATTTTAGATGTGCACCACCATGCCTGGTTCCTATTTGGATATGGTCCCAATGCTTGGCATACAGTAAATTCTTAATTAAGTATTTTCTCAGTAAATGTATGAACAAACTGAAGAACAGCTTCCTTTGAAAATTGAGACCCAATGCTTGGCCCTTACTACTTGGTTGAGTCACTACTGCACTTAACAAGTAAAAGAATGTAGGAAAGATGCATTCTCATATAATGCTCATCACTGAAATTCCATTTAAGAAGGAATCATATGCTTTAGAAAAATGCACTTATTCTCTGGTACAAAAATTCATCCTAATCATGTACACAAATCAAGAGGTATAATGATGTTCACTACCATCTTTTTCATAACACTAACTGGAAATACATCATTATCCAACAACAGAGTTAAATGATAGTATTTCCATACAATGTAATCCTATAAAGCCTTTACAATAATGAAGAATATTTACATAAATATGGTCATGTTAAAGAAAGTAAATTATAAAACAGAATGAACAATATAATCCTAACAACTCTATATGCATAAAAACCAAATGTTAAATGTTAATTACCTGAGTTTATGGGATTTTGATTTTAATGGTTTTCCTTTAGCTTACCTACATTTTCTATTTTTCTCCAGTGTGTTTTAGCGCTGCTTTTATTAAAGATGTTTTAAGTTTTAAATTAAAAAAAAATTTTTTGAGACAAGGTCTTGCTATGTAAACCAGGCTGGCCTCGAACTCACAGTGATACTCCTGCTTCAGCCTCCTGAGTGCTGGGATTACAGGCATGTGCCACTACGCCTGACTAAAAATGTTTTAATTTAAAAAATTTATTTTTTTTGGTACCAGGGATCGAACTTGAGTCCTTGCACTTGCACAGCAGGCTGCAAAACCACTGGGCTAAATCCCCAGCCCTTAAAAATGTTTTTAAATGGAAGTTCATATATGGGAGAAAGAGAGATCCTTTTGACATTCACAGAATTAGCACATTTAGTTTTAACAATTTGTACTCTAAAATCTATAGCATCTAGATTTTAAAATATAGATATAAGATGTAGTTCTGTTGTTATATGAGACTGTGGTTCATTGAGAGGGCTGAGTAACAGTCTAATTTCCAAATCTCAACTCAGCTTTGAAGTTGCAGGATGAGCTCTATAGCTGATCTAAAGTGCCAAGGATGTAGTTCAGTGGCGCCACACCTGCCTGGCAAAAACAAGGTCCTGAGTTTGATTCCCAGTACCGGGAAAAATAAACAAACAAACAAAACAAAGCACTGAGTTCAGGAATGTACTCAGACTAGACCAAAATAGGCTGCAGGGGTTGAAGCAGATGGATGAATAATCTGTGCATGCCAGCTTCTGTCATACTATGTAACCACACTGCAGCATCACTCCAGGACCAAAGGGGGCACCAGCCAGGTGAGGTGATCTCCACCATGTACCTACATAAGAATGGACCAAAACAGGCCCAGAAGGTGATGGACATGTTTTCAGGCCTCACCCAAACTATTCACCCTTTAGAGAATTTTTATTTAACTTAGAAATCGGACCTATCTCTTGTCTAGATTGATTTTTTTTTTCTTTTTTCATTCTTTAGTTAAGGAAACTATGTGATTACCAAATGGTTGGTCTGGCAATCAGTATCTAATATAACCCTTTCTTACTGAAACTGTCACAGTTCTCTACTCCACCAAATAATCCATGGTGACACACCTCTGAGGGATGGTGAAGTTCTCTAGAAGTACAAATGCAGAGTGCTACATTTTAGTATATCCATAGTTGGTTCCTTCCTCTCCCAGCCCAACGCCCACCCCTCCTATGATGGGCTCAACCCTGTACCTCTGGTAAGATGAATTGTTCCACAGGCTTGTACCACAGCTTGTTCACCTGAACGCCACAGCTTGGAGGACTAAAGCGAGCAATGAAGAGGGGCTCCTACACATTGGGGAAGGAAAGGGGCATGAAACAGAAAAACAAAGACAAGAAAAAATATTTCATGTTATATACTACATTTGCAACAAGTCTTCCAACACCTTCCAGCTTGGTCAGTCAACAAAATCCATAATGGTCCTAACCATGGTGACTCATGTTCTACTGTGGTTCTGGTAATTTTTGGGTTTTCTAGGGCAGTTGTGGTTATTAAATAAAGGTATTTAAGAAAACCGAAGTTGTCTTTAAATTTTCATATAACCCTAAAAACAAAACAAAAAAACCCATCTTGAGATAAAAAGCATTAAAGGGAGAGGTATTATTAAATTCAGCTAATCACAGTGTCAAAACTCCCTCAAAGGTTAAGAATAAGAAGAAAGATCACATATTTATAGGGAATGGGAACAAATGGACTCAGGAACCCTCTTCAAAAAAAACAATCAGGCTGGATGCAGTGGTGCTGCATACACCTGTAATCCCAGCACTCTTGCAAGGCTGAGGCAGAAGGACTGCAAGTCTGAGCCCAAGTTGGGCAACTTAGGAAGACCCTGTCTTAAAAATAAAGTGGAGAGAGGGGATGTGTGGGGATATAATTCAGTGCAAAGGTGCTGGGTTAAAGCCAAAACAAAGCTAACAAAAACAAAAGAAACCTTCAGAAGAAAATATACACTAAACAAAAAAGGGAATATAAAAAGAGGACTGGTTCTCAGGATGTCTATTGTTTTCTTTGTACACTCCCATTTCTTTCAGCTAAGAACATTTTCTTATTCTCATCACAATCCTTATATACACTAAGTTACCAGAAGCGAAATTTCTGTTAAAGCTATCAAGACTACGTAGACGTTTACAATGAAGGTCAAGTCAGTGTAGTATGTCTATTTCTTTCATGAACACCAGTTCTTAGCAATGTACTTAGGATGTATTTTGCACTATGATGTGTGACCCACTTATCCCACTGTTCATGCCACTTTCTGGAGAAGCTCTGGAAGTTCTCTTTCATGTCTTTACAAGATGACATAAAAAATATGGTAAATGCTGCTGCCTAGTGCCATCCAATGAAAAGGCAGGGTCATAAAAACATTATAGTGTGTCCTCATTGTATTCTTACCATATTCACCAAATCTGGCACTATTTGACTTCTGGCTCTTCCCCAAAGTCAGTATGACTGTGAAAGGTAAATATTTTTAATCAATTTAGGACATTAAGGCAGCGTATAAAATACACCTACAAAAGAAACTTCCAGAACTGATTCAGAAAGTGGCAAGAATAATTGGATAAGTGTGTTCAAAGAGAGGGGAATTAATTGCAAAGTATCTTTTTTTTTTTTTTTTGGTACTGGGGATTGAACTCGGGTCCTTCCGCTTGTGCAGCAGGTGGCAAAACCACTGAGCTAAATCCCCAGCCCCCAAAGGGTCTTTTTTTGAGACAGGGTCTCGCTATGCAGTTCAGGCTGACCTTGAACTATGTAGCCCAAGCTGGCCTCAAACTCTCGACAGTCCTGCCTCAGCCTCCCAAGTGCTGGGATTACAGGTGTGCACCACTAGGACCAGCCCAATGTGTCTTTCAGGGTATTAAAAAATTTTCAAGGGCTGGAGATTTAGCTCAGTGGTTTCACTGCCTGCTGCGCAAGCACAAGGACCCGAGTTCAATCTCCAGTACCGAAAAAACCAAACCCAAAAACAAAAAAACAAAACCAAAAAAATTTTAAATTTAAATATTCACTTTTTGTTCATTACATTTCATACATCTATTCATGAACCCTTTAGGATCCACCTTAGATCAGTTCTTCTTGAGGACAAAAGATTACTAACTCCTCTCTGGCTAAAATAACAGCAACTAAAAGTTATCAACATGACCAAAATATTGTATTTTTTTTGGTTTTTGGTACCAGGGATTGAATTCCGGACCTTGTGCTTGCGAAGGAGTTGACAGAACCACTGAGCTAAATCCCCAGCCCCATAAAATATTGTGTTTGAACTAAACTTCTTTACTGGCATCCCAAACATTATAAATAATTTTTTAAAAAGACCATACTGAGACAATTCAGTGTATCAAAAATTCAATATTAATCCTAATTTCTAGATAAGGATAACAATGAATTCATGATTACTGCTATTTCAGCTACCTACCTGAATTTCAACATCAATACATTTTTTTGTGTATGTGTGGGCAATTCTGGGGAAAGAACCTGGCCTCCTATATATTATGGAAGTAGTTTATTACTTAGCTACACCACTCTCCTTTCAATGAATTGTTTATTTGGGGGCGGGGGTGAGACAGGGTTTTGATATGTAGTTCAGGCTGGCCTTAAACTCATTATGTAGTCCAGGCAAACCTCCTGCCTCAGCCTCCTGAGTGCTGGGATTATAGGTGTTCAATGAGTCTTAACACACAGACTACTACAGTTGAGAAACTTGATAAAGCTCTATTCAGTATAATCTAGGGACTGGATTCATTTGTTCCCTCTCTTATGTCTATCAATACATTAAAAACTACAGCTTCTTTAGAAGAAGCAAAAAAACCCCTGAAACTTAAATTGATCTTTATATTTACTCTAAACTTCCAATAATATCAAGACCAATTCTACAGATTACAATTATGAACTCAGGACAAAACATGAAAAAGCAATGATCTAAAAGCACTGAAACTAGATCAAGCAGGAAGAACATGGAGGAGAATTACATGTGGACACCTTCTTTATTGGTCTTTGTCCAAAGGTAGAAAGCTAGGGCAACTGAAAAGCTGAATGAAAACCTGTAGTCTTTCTGGCAGAAAAGTTAAAGGACAGAGGAAGAGCAAACATCAGCTAAAAAGTGAACAGGAATACCCCATCTAGCATGAACCTCTGAGGGACAGCCACAAATTCTACACATCAACTCTGCCCAAATCTGTGGCTGACTCATGAAACACACATTTGAGGCCAAACTCAAGCAGTCCATGTAAGGCCAAAACTGAACAGAGATTTGAGCTGCTGTGCACAGCAAGAAAAACAGTTTGGAATCTGTGTCTGGCCAATTTAACTGCCTGCTAAAACAAGAAAAAAAAAATCAATACTCTTCAAGGAATAAAATGGAATCCAGAGCTCCTACAACCAATTGTTCACAATACCCAGGCTTCAATCCAAGGTACCAGATATACAACAGAAAAAAATGATACTCAAGAGAAAAAGATGACAATCAGTAAAGACGCACCCCAAGATAACTTGGGATAAGCCCACAAGGGTTTTTTAAAGCAGTTATAGTGTATCATCATGGGTCTACTCGGGAAAAACATGCTCAAAATTAATAAATAATACAAAGGAGATTTTAGAGAAATAGAAACTGTAAAAACAGAACTGAAAATTGAAGAAGTGTTATAAAATAAACCTAAAATAAAAAATTCATTGAGTAAGCTTAACTGCAGATTTGAGATGGCAGAAGACTTAGTAAATTTAAATAGATTAACAGAAAGTAAAGCTGAAAACCAGAGGGGAAACAATGAAAAAAACTCCAGATTCGTGAACTGTGGGACAACACTTAAGAGATCTCGCATACAAGTAATTGGAATCCAAGAAAGAATGGATGGAATGTGTGGCACTGGAAAAAGTTTTGAAGAAATATCAGCTGAAAATTCTCAAAATTTGGTAAAAGATGTACATTTAGAGAATGAAAAAACTTGAGAAGTCCTGAGCAGAACAGACATAGAAAAACCACTCCAAGGTACAACAGTCAAATTGTTTAAAGCCAAATATAAAGGTAGCCCCCAAATAAAGGAACCACATCACACACACCACTAATGAGAACAGTAATTTGAAGGATGGTGACTTCTCACCAGAAACAATGGAGGACAAAAACATGGAGATGAATCTTTAAAATACTGGAAAAGAAGAAAAAGAAAACAATAATCACTACCCAGAATTCCATATCCAGAAAACAACCCATGATAACAAAGGAGAAAAAAAGTAAAATAAAAGTATTTTCAGAAAAATGAAAACTAAGCAAATTCAGCAGCAGCAAATACACTATCAGAATTGAAGGTAGATGATATCAGATAGAAATTTAGGTATTCAGGGATGAATAAACAATAGAAATGGTAACTATATGGGGAAATACAAGACTTTTTCTCTACAATCCTTTAATATACACTCAGTTTAAAGCAAAAATTATATACTATGAGATTTTGAGCATATATAGATTTAATATATAGAGTAATGGGAACAAAGTTGATGGATGGTAAATGGAATTTGCACAGTCCCCATATTTTACATGAAGGGAAACAGCAGCAGCTCCAAGACTGAAAAGTTTGGGATATGTATTGTAATCCTTATGTCAACCATACACACAAAAGTAATAACAAAGAACTGTAGCTAAAAACCCAACAGAGAAATTAAAATGAAATTCTAAAAAATATACAGTTAACCTCAAAGAAGGCAGAAGAGGAACAAAACGGTCAATCAAACAGAAAACAAGTGACAAAATAAGAGTTGAAATCTCACCACTTTGACAACTACTAAATGTAAATGGAATAAACACTTCCTATAAAAGCTAGAGATGCTTAAAGTTTATAAACAGAAAGGATCTCCCCCACCTTTTGATGTGTATAAGAAATATAATTTCTAGCAATACATAAAATTCAATTCATCATAGTAACATAATAAAAGATAAAAACCTTGGAAACAGTCTGGGTTCTCACCAACACTAGAATGGGTAGGTAGCCTATACTGTTAAGACTACTACTTATCAATTAAAAGAATGAAAAGGGAAAATTTATTGATCATGCAATATGATGAATAGGTTTCAAAATGTGGAGTGAAAAATGACTTATACAACAGAGCACTTTTGTATGCTTCCACTTATACGTGAAGTCCCCAGAACAGATAAAATCAGTTTATGCAAAACAAAAAAATCAGAACAGTGGTTGCCTTTGGGGAATAGTAAAGAAACTGACTAGAAAGGAACATAAGGGAACTTTCTAGGATCACATGCTTCTCGTACTGATAGGAGCTTGGGTTAAACAGGTTATGGAATTTAACAAACTGCATGCACATTCCACTTTATGTAAAGTTTAAGAACAACAACAACAAAAAAACTCTAATGATATGCATGCTAAAGCATTTAAGGGTGAAGTATACCAATGTCTGAAACTTACTCTGAAATAAATTTTTTTTTGGCGGGGTACCGGGGATCGAACTCACGACCTTGCACTTGCAAGGCAGGCACAGTGCCACTGAGCTAAATCCCCGGCCCTCTGAAATACATTGTTAAAAAAATAGGTTAATAAATATATACGTGATAAAGCAAATACAGCAAGGCATTAGCTACTGTAGAATCTAGTTGGTGGCTATCTGGGTGTTCACTGTGCAATTATTTTGCATTTTTTGTATTTTTAAAACCCAGAAACAGATCTTTTCAAATAATTCCATCCTATACTCCTTCAGATATATCATGTGAACAAATTGGATCTCCCCAAATTCAGAAAAAAGAGTAACCACAATTGTTCTAAACTTTTCTTCCTTCTACACTTTTTGTGGGGGTTGGGTGCCGGGGATTGAACTCGGGACCTCGTGCTTGTCAAGCAGGCAGCAGAACCACTAAGCTAAATCCCTGGGCCCCTACACCTTTATTACAAAAAGATCTGAAGCAGCTGTTAGCCTTTTATTTTATTTTTTGGTACCGGGGATTGAACTTGGGTCCTTGCGCTTGCACAGCAGGCGGTGAAACCACTGAGCTAAATCCCCAGCCCTTGACAGCCTTTTATTGTAGATTTTTAGGGTTGGAAGAAATACAATCCTAAGAGGCCCCCAATTTTTTTGTTTTGAGACAAGGTCTTGATACATAGCCTAGGCTGGCCTCAAACTGGCTGTGATCCTCCTGCCTCAGCTCCCTGAGAGCTGGGATTACAGGCATTTACCACCACACAGCTACAAGGCCCCAAATTTTTATAGCCATCACAAAGTTTTAAAATTTCTGAGCTTTGGGGGATTTTGGATTGGAAATTTCTAACCTAGTCCAACTTTCTCTTTTCTAGATATAATGCATTATTCATAGTTAACCTCTTTTCAAACCAGTAATGTAATTTTTTGCACTACAATGCATTCTGCATGCAGTCAGTAAGGGAAGAAAGGTGGAAGTCTCTCAACAAGAGAGAATTATAGTCTTCCAATCTCCTGCATAATTTATAAGGAAAAGTTGTGTTTTGGGAGAAGGAAAATATAGGAAGTTCTGTAGAAAACAGTACATACCTCCTGTTCTGCCTGATAAAGCTTCACTGTGATGTTTCTCTGGAAACCCACGTCACTGGTGTCGTAGAATACCCCGAGACTGGTAATAACAATTGGATAGAGAACTTGGAAGCTCACACTAACAACTCGGTCCTCAGACAGCTCTGATGTAGCATCTTCAGAAAGACTGAATGCCTCAATTTCCTGATTCAAAACTAAGGAAGAAAGGAGAACAGGGGTTTTACATAATCACAATATGAAGTAGTGAAGTGGCCCTAACAATAAAATCTAATTAGTTATTTGTTATATGATTTTTTTTTTTTTGCTTTTAGATGTATCTAATTTTATTATAAAACCACTGTTTTGGCATTAGTTGGTTACAGTGATAACTACATACTGTAAGTGTGGCACAGCAGGTCTGATGGGATAACTGGATCCCCAACTTACTGAACCAAACTTTAGTCACCTCAAATCTACTACAGACAGTAGCCTGCAGGTGTTACGAATGCAAATTCCACTTAGGGAATAGGTAGTAGATTAAATGTTGGTAAGACTACAAAAGTAGTGGTTCCTTTATGGGACTTTTTTATTCCTTCTCCCCTCCAATTACTTTGTTTTAAAAGAATCAAATTTCTCAGAACAAATATGAGTAACAGCAGCACCCAAGGAACATCACACTTAGCTCTTGTTAAAAATCAGTATGGGGCCGGGGATTTAGCTCAGTGGTTCCACCACCTGCCTCGGAAGTCCAAGTTCCCAAGTTCGATCCCCGGTACCCAAAAAAGAAAATCAAGTATAAAAATCAGTATCTGTGTGATTCATCTTTTACAACACAGGTAAGGGAATGTTCACTCTAGTTTTAAACTCCTTCTTACAGTCCCTTAAAAAAGTAAAAGCGTTCCACCAAGTTCTTCTGGATGGTGTAACTGCTGTACATTTGTTGGTAGGTCACTTTTTGTGCTATGTTTACTTGGAAAGGATCTTCCAATATATCTCCAATATTCCTTTCTTATGGTGTCCTTTTCTTTAGCCAGGATTTCACATAACTCTAATGCTTTATTAAGAATGCCTTCCTTGGGCTGGGGATTTAGCTTAGTGGTTCCACCGCCCGCCTGCCTTGCAAGCGCAAGGATCCAAGTTCGATCCCTGGTACCAAAAAAACAAAAACAAAAACAAAACAAACAAAAAAAGAATGTCTTCCTTGTTGTCACACTGGTTTTCTAACATGTCTTCATAGTCATCCACAAGAAAGGCAATTAGGTAAGGGGAACTGTGACTTGGTCGTAAATCAAGTAACTGATTTAGTAGGTTGGGATATTTGGAAAGACCACGATCTTGCAAAATCCCTTTCAAATAGTTTCATGCACTTTCATTATGTGGTACAAGTTTTATCATTTCCAGAGTGTACTGGACTTCTCTAATGCAGCATGACCACTGTAGCCAGTGGTGTTAGAAATGACAAAGTATCTTTGGTTCCACGCAGTTATTTCTCACATCCTCTTTGAGAAGTTGGTCTACATACTGTAGTTCATTATCCCAAAGTCTAAATTCCTGAATGACCCACTGTTGATGCTGCCAAGCACGGTAATTCTTTGCATCCTGATTAAGAATATCAGCAATAAACTCAAGCTCCTGAGACGGATCTTTCAGCCATTCTACTAATACTCGCCTATGATGCCAAACATGATAGTTTTTCGGCTATTCCTCATTTATCGTAGTGATGTAGTTCATTTCTTCATGTAGATCCTTTTGAAGTGACCGTAAGAGAACTCTTTGAAAATGCCACACTGTGTAATTGGCTGCATTTAATTCAATGGCATCCCGAGTGAGCTTCAAGGCTCGCTCACTTCTCTCATCATGCTGCAGAACAGCTCAGAAATAATCATAAACATCTTGGAATTTTTTACTATAGATGATCTGCACTACTGGATTAGGACCATCATTCTGTGGCACTGGATCTATATCAGCCCACTCTGCTCTGTCCCTGTACAGGACATAGGTGGGTGAGTCCAGTCTCAGGAACCCCTCATCCATGGGGGATGCCATGGCTTCCCTGGCCTCCGCTGCCATGTCTTCCTCCAGCAGCTGCTGGGCTGGTGGTGGGTGCGGCTGTGGCGGGGGCTACTCCGGCCGACCAGGATCGCCATCCTGCACAGATTCCCCAACCCCCTCAGTGGCCGCCATCTCGCCTCTGTCCACAATGGAGGTAGCGCTGTTATATGATTCTTTCACAAATGGCAGGAATTTTTACAAAATTCTTCAGAATCATGGCTGCTCATAGAAAAACAAACCTATTTTGAAATTTAACCATGAACTTTTCATCTAAATCATTATTCAGTTATCAAAACTGCTTTAGCAGATTTTTTGCATACATGTATATATATGCAGATGCATAAATACCATAGAATTAAGTCAACTGGAGTGCATCTATTTGGAAGGATTGGACAAAAAGGGTAATAAACACAGTACTAACTACAGTCATAAGTAATCAGTAAGTTTGAGTCAGGCACAGTGGTGCACACCTGTAATGCCAGCAACTGAGAAGGTTGAGGCAGATGGACTGCGAGTTCCAGCACAGCCCATGCAACTTAGCAAGGCACTGTCTCAAAACAAAAATTATAATAAAAAAATTTTAAAATGGCTGAGGATGAGTTCATTATGAAGGCCCTAAATTCAATCCCCAGTATCAGTGGGGGAAAAAAATCAGTAAATTTGGTCTTGCTCTGCAAATTCTGAGGTTCTACTTTTTTTAAGGCAATTTAAAATATTTGTAACAAGTCAGGCAACTGTTACAGAAGTAACTAGAATCACTTCAAATAACACTGAAAAATTCTTGTGGTACAATATTGATAAAAGACAAGCACAGTAAACACAGTAGGCGTTTCTGACTGCCTATTTGTTGACATTCCCACCAAGTTCCCATTTTCACAATTTCCCCCTGTGGGGGTGGAGTTTATTTAGTCTACAGACTAAGAAACTGACACAGTAATTTGCCCAAGGTCACCAAAAATGGCAGTCAGGAGTCACACCCAGGTTTAATGACTCCCAAATCAGTGGTTTTCCATTTCCCAACTGTTGTCTAATCAGTGTCCAAAACAGTCCTTTTCAAATAATTTCTAATTCCATAAATGAATCAAGATAGATTTTATGGGTAGTTAATATGGTAGAGACTACCAGTATAATTTTGAGAAATAAGACCCTTTTTTTTTTTGGTCCCGGGGATTGAACTCAGGTCCTTCCCCTTGCGGGGCAGGTGGTGGAACCACTGAGCTAAATCCCCGGCCCAAGAAATAAGACCTTTTAAAAAATATTATATCAAAGTGCTTTGTGTCTTTTAGAGCTGTGGCTTTCAAACTTTGCTGATTATACCATCTCATAAGTTAAAAAAAAAAAAATCTGTACACATACCCATATATTTACTTACAAAATAAACACAAATACTAGGGGCCGGGGATGTAGCTCAGCACTGCCTGGCAAGTTAAGTGCAAGGTCCTGAGTTTGATTCCCAGTACCAAAAATACATACATATAGGGGCGGAGATTTAGCTCAGCGGTTTCACCACCTGCTACGCAAGCGCAAGGACCTGAGTTCGATCCCCGGTACCAAAAAAAACAAAAAACAAAAAAAACATACATACAAATACTGTAGTCATATTCAGTATTAATAAAAAATATATTTCTTTTTTTCAGATAAATAAAATTATTGTTAGGGCTGGAAGTGTAGCTCAGTGGTAGTCTGCTTGGCACGCAGGAGGCCCTGAGTTCAATCCTTAGCACCAAAATAAAAAATTAATAACAATAAAATAAAATTTGTATTTTCTTCCCAAACACCCACAAGTTATTTGGATCTTTGCTTTAAGAGTTCCTAAAACTATTATACACTTAGTAGATGCTCAATCAAATGTACCTAAAGGGGAAGTGATGACTTCTGCTCAATTATTGACATGAGCAAGAAGGAAAGAAAAGACGACAGGTTTTTGTAATGGACTGAGCAGGCACTGCCAGTCTAGATTCCAAACATACTGTATGAAAACAAAGTGTTTCTCTTTACTATTGTGATAGCCAACCCAACTCCATTTTGAGCCTCAATGCCATTTTGTGCCTGTGCTTGGACAAAGCACCCAAAACCCCCCACATCTTGTTTGGCAGTAAACTTGCTGCAGTTGCAGGATGTTTTGTAGCTCACCTACTGTGTGTGAAACTTCCTTGTGCCCCACATCCCCACTAACCTGGCATGGCTCTGCTTCTGTAAGATTCTGCTTCCTCTCTGCTTGCTCTCTCCTGAGCCCTCCCCAACTGAAAGCATGACTTAAAAGGAGAAATCAAACCACTTCCCGATGTCAAGAGAACTTTCCAGGCAGTAGCCCCCCTCGACCACCAGCTTAATAAACAGACTCAATGTGACACAGAGTGTGGCACATCTCTATTGTTCTAACTCGCTAGTCCCTAACACTATAATCAGGAAATAAAAGAGATCCAAAGTGGAAGCAGGTCTATTAAAAGCATCGGCTCAAACACATAACATTCCTAGATTTCGGTTTTTTTTAAGATGGTCTTGATACATAGTTCAAACTGGCTTTGAACTCTGATCCTCCAGCTTTTCAGCCTGAGTGCTGGGATTACAGGCGTGCACTACCACACCTGGCTCACATTTTTAGTTTTTTGTTGTTGTTGTTGTTTTGAGACAGCCTTGCTATGTAGTTCAGGCTGGCCTTGAACTCACAGCAAGCCTTTGCCTCAGTCTCTCAAGTGTTGGGGTACTACCACACTCAACTAGATATTTCCTACCTTAAAAAATAACTTTGAACTCAAGCTACCCAAAAAGCAAATTGTTGTTTTTTTTTTTTGGTACCGGGGATTGAACTCAGGACCTTCCGCTTTCAAGGCAGGCACAACACTACTGAGCTAAATCCCTGGCCTTGTTGCTTTATTTTTGAGATGAGGGTCTCACTATGTTGCCCAGGCTGATCTAGAACTCCTGGGCTCAAATGTGATCCTCCCACTTCAGCCTCCCAAGTAGCTGGGACTACAGATGTTCAGGTGTGCCAGCCTGGCTAATGCTGTTGTTTTGATAATACTATTGATCAAACCTTCTATCATGATTAATGCTCACTGTGACCTTCTGGTTCTGAAATAACCCTAAATGCTTTCAGGAAAATAAAAAGATAAAATTAGTGTGTGTATTTTTAAAAATGTATCATACATATATGAACATTTTCTCTTTTTTTTAACTTTTATTAGTACATGTTTGCAGTTCATGCAGTTTACAATCATGTTGGAGAGTAGCTACATCTATATACCACAGCTTGAGTTTTTAAAAATTCCCTTCCCTTTCCCACCTCCTCCCTCCTAAACATTTTCTATTAATGGAGAGGTCTACTACTTTACTGCTAATGAGTAAAGGCACTTAAAATAACTTCTGGATTTTTTTCTTTCTTTTTTTTTTGCAGTCCTGGGGATGGAATCCAGGGCCTGGGTTCTGCTAAGGGCTCTGCCACTTAAATTACATCCCTATCCCTGGAAAATTCAAAGGTAAGGGCTTTTTCTAGTTGCTGTTTGGTTTTCATTCAGTCATTTATTTGTTTTTTGTTTTTTTGGTACCAGGGATCGGGTCCTTGTGCCATTTGTTTATTTTTGAGACAGGGTCTCACTATGTAGTTCAAGCTGTCCTTGAACTCACTAGGTAACCAGGACTGGGCTTAAACCCATGATGATCCTTCCGCCTCAGCCTCCTGAGTGCTGGGATTATAGGTATGTACCAGCATGCCCAGCTGGTTTTGGTTTTCAACTGTAACTTGTTGTAGGATACCCACATCATTACTAATACAACATTACGAGTTGCATAATTTTTTGGTTCTCCAGAGGTATACATAACCATAAAGGTTTGACAAAATTTAAAATAACACAAGTCATAATCAACACATGGGATATTGGAAAAGCTGAACATTTCTTAGAATCACAGCTGCACATAACAGGAAGGGGTAATAAAGACAAGTTACAACTTCTCCAAATTAGTTCCCTAGTGACACACAGAAAATCTAATTAGAATCTGCTTTCTTCATCATCATCAGAATCCCCACCACTTTTAAGGAATAAAAAGTATTACTTGTATTTTTAATATTTTACTGTTTGTTTGTTTTGCAGAAGCACTGGCAATGATCTTAACAGAATGTTGACTCACAATATTTGTATCAATGCTACTACAAATCCACTGGTAAAATCAGCAGTTTCTCAAAAGTTCAAAGTTCAGTAACTCATAATTTATCTAAGCATAAGGAATTTCTAGATGCATTTGAATCACCCTGAAGAATACTCTGCCGGACCCTGTAATTCTGTATTTGTGAAGAATCTCTATAGATTCCTGGATTAGTCAATCTATCAAGAGGGATGAAACACATATTTTGATGTCAAAAACCAATTCCATACTATTAAATTTAGCAACTTTTATTCATCATTGAACTTGTAGATGGGCAGTCTTTGACAGAAGACAACTCACCTGGACTCGTGATGTTGAGCAGCCTGCAGGAGTAAGGGTCCTCCCTGTCTTCCACGGGCACTTCACAGCCATGAGCACCTATTATGAACTTCACAAGCACACTGAGAGATGTGTTGGCATTAACATCAGTTACTTATCATCACCTTTCACGTGCATGTTTCCTCAGGCTCATTTTAGAGCTTTTACTTTAAGACATAAGTATTTATGAGGATTAATCTCTATCTTCATTATTCTAGTCTAGCAAAAAGGGGGAACATCAAATTGTTAACTGCCCAGTAACTTGTGTATGAGCTCTCTCCTGTAATACTGTATTAAAGCAAGTGTGAAGGTTTGGTCTGGCTACCAGTGACTGCTCATGCTATCTAAAAATGTACTGCAACTTCTCAAAAACTATCCCTATCTTAGCTGGGTGTGGTGGCGTATGCCTGCGATCCTAGCACTCAGGAGGCTGAGGCAGGAGGATCACTGAGAGTTCAAGGCCAACCTGGGCTACATAATGAGTTCAAGGCCAGCCTAGGTAGGTTGCATAGTAAGTTTAAGGACAGCGTAGACTACATAGCAAAACCCTGTCTCAAAAAAAACCGAAAACCAAAAAACAAAACAAAACCAAACCAAAAAATTATCCGTATCTCCAACTTTCCTTTTTTGTTTCTTTCTTTTTGTGGTACTGGGGATTGAACTTGGGACCTTTCCACTGAGCCACATCACCTTTCCCCCTTGGAGAGATAGCCTTGCTAAATTGCCGGGGCTGGGCTCATATTTGTGATCCTCCTGCCTCAGGCTTCCAGAGTGCTGGGATTACTGTCTTGTGCCACCATGCCTGGCTTTTCTGTTTTTTGGTTTTCTATGTTAGCAGGTCTTCCTTCTGCTCAAGATTAGTCTTTCTATGCAAGATGAGGTCCCCACCACTCCTAGACCTTGTCTTACTGGTTACCCTGTAACTCCAACCTTCCACATTGTAAAAACAATGTATATGAGCCAGGGTCTGCCCTTGAATCTCTTCTCCATCTGCCCACTCTTTTCACTTCCTTTTCTTGAACAATATTATTTATTATCAAGGACTCAACTAGCCTAGGAATGATTTTTGGGCAACTAGCTCTAGTTTAGACCTAACCGCTGAGTAAAAGATCCATAAATTCATTGGATATCTTCACCTAGATGACCCACAGGCAGTTGTGTTCTGAAGCCTGCTAGTCCTGCCTTGTGAGAGCAACTGTCATATTTTCAGGAATTTTGAGAGATGGTTATTCAGCAGATTTTATAGGTACTTACAATTAAGTATATTATGAACAAAAGGAATAAACTCATCATTTTCTGATTTTACATTTTACCATTATCAGTCTCTTGAGATTATCTTTATATGCATGATGAATATTATATATGGTGTATTATGCACATCTTTCCCCAATTCTGAATTTAGTAACATCACATTAGTTTCTTGAAATTTAGACCACTATTTAGACCACTGAAACTGTCAAACAATAAAAGTAAGCGTTTGATATAGTTTTCTTCATTGTGCAGACTCAAAAGTGCATGCAAGGGCTGGGGATTTATTTAGCTCAGTGGTTCTGCCACATGCCTCGCAAGCACAAGGTCCTGAGTTTGATCGCCAGTACCAAAAAAAAGAATAGAAAGAGCATGCAAAAATGTTAATAATGCAAATTAAACATAGTGTACTCTATCTGGAGCTACTATATTGTGAGTAGTACAAAAAAGGGAGAAAATACTCTTCCAATGTTCAAAGATTATTATGATTCAGCAAAGAAGTCACTGGTTTCATGGACCAAAAGTAAAATTCTGACATATCTTAGTTGTCACTATAGTTTTACTCTTTAACTTAAAGTAAATATTTGTGTCAGAACTACACTGCTTTGTCAATTGCAACCATGAATTGGTAACAGAGTCTGGCAAACAAAAGCATTCTATGAGAATCAGTTTGCTTCACAGAATTTACTAATAAAGAGTACTATTTATATCATTATCTGTCAATCATGTGCTACGCATCTTTTATATCAGCACAATTTATAATACACATATGTGTACACATGAGCATACTCTGTTCCAGAGAACCAACCAGTAAGCATATTCTGGTATACTGCTATCTGTAGGGCCCTCAAACTCGACATGTACACAGTTGAGCTCCTTTCCCGTGAGAGCTGCTCTTTTCATCTAGTACTCTGTGACTGGATGGAGGGCCACTATTCTCCAAGTCACAAACCTAGCAGTCACTCTAATGCCTCTTGTTCTTTCCATCCTTACCTGAACAGGTCTCATCTTCCACTTAACCCTCCACAAAGCTCACCTCTCCCAGTCACAGGCCTGCCCTCTTTTCTCATTCTTTTTTTTTTTTTTTTTGGTACCAGGGATTGGACTCGGGTCCTTGTGCTTGCACAGCAGGCAGCAAAAGCACTGAGCTAAATCCCCAGCTTTCATTCTTTCTTAACAGGGTCTCACTATGTAGCCTAGGCTGGCCTTGAGCTCAAGATCCTCCTGCCTCAGCCTCCCAGATGCTGGAATTACAAGTGTGTATCATCACACCTGGCTCTCCTTCTCTCTTTACATAACCTTTCTCTCTGTGTCTCCTTTCTTCCCTGGCTTTCTAATACTCACCCTCAATACCCCTCTCCCCTGAAAAAATCCCTGTGTTCTAGTTACATAGGATTGTTTGGAGTTTTCCAAATATTCTAGGATATTTTATATTTATTTATTTCATAGGACCTGTAACATTTTACAACACTTATATCTATTTTCTTTCACTAAACTTCAAGCTACTCTAAAAATTCAGGCTTAGCTATATCTGTGTTTCACCACACACAACACACTACTTGCTTACAAAGACACTTAATACCTTACATAAGACACTTAATACATAGACAACTAGCATTTGGAATAAAATTATTACTCTTGTTCTTACCCAAAAGGCCGAGAAGGAATGGGAATAAAAGTATTAAATCCACATAATTACTCTGCCCCAGGAAGTTGTTTTTAGCTAATAACTATTTCTATATAGATGCGCTATCATTCTCACAAAACAAACCACAAAGCTTACAAAAGCAAATGAACTATAGGTGAACCTCTAAAGGTAAAACTTATTTATTACATTTAGTTCTGAGTCATTCATTCTACAGGTGTTGAGTGCCTTTCACTAGGCCAGTGGTGGCAAACCTATGACACCATACTATTTGTTTTTCTTTTAAGACAAAAGATGTTAATGTATGAGGTTTTGTTTTGTTTTTCCCTAAACTAAAATCTCAGTTTTAGGTTTAACTGAAGTGCCGGCACTTTGTGATAAACTGTTTTGAGTTGCAGTCTGGGCCCTTGTTTCCAAAAGGTTCACCATCACTGTGGACCTAAGTCAAGTTAGGTTCTAAGTACTGGGAATATAACAATAAAAAACAGACGAAACGTACATTCTAGAGGGGAAAGATTAAATCATTTATAAATATACAACTAAATACAATGAACCTGCCAATTGGTGATAAGTGTAATGACAAAGCAAAGTGAGGGAAGACAATGAAATAGATGGGGTGCTACTTAATATGAGCTGTCTGCTAGGGTAATCTGAGCAGAGGCTGAAGGAAGTGAGCTGTGAGGGCAGTTAAGTGTATTAAGCCAGAGTGAAGTGGCCAGCATACAGGAAACAGACACAGAGAAGGTCAAAGACAACAAGAGACTTGGGATTCCATTCTAAGCAAGAAAGGTAGTCGGTGAAGGGTTACGAATACAGGGTTAACAAACTTAAGCTTTTTTTTTTTGGTACCGGGGATCAAACTCGGGACTTTGCGCTTGCAAGGCAGGTGCCACAAACTTAAGCTTTTAAAGGATCATTCTGAGCTGGCCACACACTTGCGATTCCAGTACTTTGGGAAGCTAAGGCAGGAACATCACAAGTTTGAGCCCAGGCCGGGCAGCTCAGCAACTTAGTGAGACCAAAAAAAGGACTGGGTGGCACACGTCTATAACCCTAGCACTAGGGAGGCTGAGGCTGAGGCCAGTCTAAACTACACAGTGAGACCCTGACTCAAAAAAATGAAAACACACACACAAAAATCACTCTGGCTGCTGAATGAAGAATTAAATGTAGAGGATTGGGGTCAAAGGTAGAAACAGGAGATTCATGTAAGGGGCTTCTGCAATAATCCAAGTTAGAGATGGTGGTGGCTTAGGTGAGGATGGCAGTGGTAAGACACGTGCTAAGAGGAGTCCAATTCCAAACATAATCTAAAGGCAGCACCCAGAAGATATGCTGTTGGGGTAGACATAGCATGTGAAAGGAAGAAGATCCAGGATAACACCAAGATTTTGGTCTAAGCACCTGGCAGAGAGGAATTCTTACTTTCCAAGATGGGAAAAAGTATAGGTTCTGGAGGTAGTGATGATTCTGAGGCCTTTCATTTATTTGCTGGGCAAAAGGTTCTATTATCATTGTGATTGTGCCCTAAAGAAACCTGTCTTGAAAAGGAATGAACACCCTTATAAGTAAGAGAGGAAAGCTATAAATGTTCACTGCTGGTGACAAGAAAATTCACAACCGCAATTCACTTGTATAGCTACTCAGTCACAAAAGTGCTGGTTTAACACAGTCCTGAGAGGGCTTCTCGGTCCATCACCCACCTGTCTGCACATAGCTGGAAGTCCAGCTTCCATGCTTCTTTACCCCCAGGCCCCAGCTACAAAACCTTGAGGCCGGTCCCACTGAGAATACACTAAGGCCCGGGGCTCCTCACCATACCGAGCCACCTGCTACCAGCATAAGGGATGCTACAAAAGCTCAGTTCTGGGAGGGTGGTCAGGAAAGAGCCAGGCACACTGCCCACACCTCAGACCACATAACTGAAAATGCTACAACACAGAAGTCACTTAAGCTTAGCTGTGAAAAGTCACTGAACAGTATTCTGGAATGCAACTGGTATAGTAAATCAAAGCAAAACAGAAACCACCCTCAGCATCTATATAACTATAAGGTATACTAACCAATGAATACTTTCCTCCAAGTAGCTTTTGGCTTAAAATCTTGGCTAAATTTACTTTTGGGCTCCAATTATATACAAGAAAAGCAAAATTAAACAGCCATTTCTCCCAGGAAAAGAGGTCATGTATCTGAATTAAGATCTCTGACTCTTCTAAATAACGTTTTTCAGAACTTTCAAACTAGGCAAGGGAATAATTCAGAAAACCTACCGATGACTTAATGCTGGATGTTCTGTCAAATGCTTCAGCCAGGTGTTTCTTATCACATTTCGAAGTTTATGATTATTTCGAGCTGACAACACACCAACCACCACATCATAGTGGTGAGATTTCCACTGAGGAAGTAAGGTAGATTGATCTATAAAAAAAAGAATAATAAACCAGAAATAAGTCATGTCTCAATTACTATAAGTTTAATATGTAACACAAAAAGTATTACAAATAACATGTTTATGTTTGTAGAAAACACAAACAGAAAGAAGACAGCTTTTAAAAAAAACATCACTCATAAACCCATCATCCAGAGATAAACACTAGTAACATTTTGGTATAGTGCCTCTGCCCTCCCTAGTGGGTACTGAACCCAGAAATGCTCTACCACTGAACAACATTCCCAGCCTTTTTTGAGTCAGTCTAAGTTGTCCAGGCTGGCTTCAAACTTCAGATTCTCCTGCTTCAGCTTTCTGAATAGGAGAGATTACAGACATGTACCCTGCACAAGGCTTGGTATAGTCTTGTCTTCCAAGGGGCTGGGGATTTAGCTCAGTGGCGCCGAGCCCACCTCATACGTGCAAGGTCCTGAGTTCAATCCCTGGTACTGGGAAAAAAGTTTAAAAATAAAATAAATAAAAGAAAAGAAAACAGGATCAAGTCTTATCTTCCACGTATATGTATTCATGCTCAGATATATAAATTTTTCAAAACAAGATGTTTATGAGAATTGGTTTTGAAAGGCAATGTCGAATAAATGATAACAGGCAGCATAAATCAAGCTACAGTTTGAACCTGGCTCTGTCATATACAGAGCCACCTTGGTTCATGAACTTAATTCTTTCCACGATTCTGGAAATGCTTGCAATCTGGTTGTAACCAGAATCATGGAAAAAATTGTGGAAAGAATTAAGTTCATGAACCAAGGCACCACTGTATTAGCTACAAGTTATTTAACTTCTTGGGTCTCAGTATCCTTAACTACTTCCCATAATCAGATATGTGCATAATACTTCCCATAAAGCTGTTGGAAAACCTAAATAAGATAATGTGTTTAAAGGCCTCACTTGGGTACAGGGCACATAGTAGGCCTTCAAAAGCAATAACAAAAGAAAATTATGCTTTGAGAGATGAAGTCCTATATTAAATGTTATTAAGTTTGGGAAGATGAAGTTAAAGGACTTCCATGCCAGAAAGAATCAGAACCCTTATTTATGTCAATAATTCTACTGCCAGCAAAGTTTTATTATATGCTAAATATTCTTAAACATTTTTAGTTTAAAAAAATCATATAACAAGTCATGTAAATGGCTGTTTTTTTTTTTTTCTGTCATAAGGTCTATCTGTATTTCTAAAATTTGCCCTTAGAAAGACAATGGAAGAAACAGATATGTCATCCTTGCTTTTCATCACTAGTTTTAAAGCTTGAGAGCCTACATACAAGCTTATATATAGCTCTGATGAGGGATCCATTTCATCTTTATTCAGTGGTGGGAACTGATCCAAAATGTTTCCAAAAATAAATTATTGAAAGCCAAGAATCTTTACTACATTAAGTGCATTTTTTTTAAGCACCAAGGATTGAACCCAGGGCCTCACACATGCTAAGCAAGTGTCTACTGAGTTCCATCCCCAGCCCTTAATGCAACATTTTTATATGCCAAAGGATCCAGGTACTGCATTCAGGCTAAAACAAAAACACGCTGATACTTTATCAAAGAACCAATTAGCACAAAATCAAAACGGTAAATCCTTTTACTAGGACAATTTTAAGGATATTATAACAATTATAAGAATGCAGTAATTGTGTAGAAACCTTACTTTTCACATTAAGATACATGGGCCATATAAAATAGATATATTTATTTTAAAATCTTTTTGGGGAGGGGGACAGAACTGGGACTGGAACCCAGGACCTTTGTTCTGAGCTGCATCCCCAGCCCTTTTTTGAGACAAGGTCTCCATAACTCATTAAGTTGCTAAGGCTAGGCTTGAATTTGAGATCCTTCTGTCTCAGCCTTCCAGAACTCTGGAATTATAGGGATGTGCCAACACACCTGGGTAAGTATTTCAATCTTAAGTGGAACAGAGGTACTTGTTATTTTGCTGTACCATGAATCTTGCATTAAAATAAATTCTATAAATACAGAATTTATGTTTAACATAAATCCAAATTTTCATGGATTAAACTTGTTTGTCAATAGATTATGTTCCTGGAACATGTGAAATGTGGTAAGGATTACATATAGAATAACAACTAATTAATGTCCACAACCCTATCAGGTAGGTACTTAGTTGATCACATGAGGAAAAGACAGAGAAATCAGCAACTTGATCTAAGTCAAATAACTAGTAAATAGCTTGGCTAAAATTTAATCTGAAGCAATCTAACTCCATTCTTTATTACTATTCTATTCTGCAGCTATACATAACTTAGTGCAGTTTTGCTGAGTTTAAATTTTGATCTTTTTATCTATAACACTAATTTGATTAGGCAATTAGTGATAATCAGATTACTGAAGACACTGGTTAGCACATTAATTTGTTTTTAAATTCATGGCCCAGACACATTTTTTCTCAGGTATCTAACATCTAAAAATGTACCTAGTGCTGGAACTAACTCTAAATGCATGAATCTGGAGGATAACCAAAATGCTGATGTAAAACTGACAATGGTATATCCACCTCATTCCCCTTCAAAGAGAAACAGTAAATACATTCTAGTAACAGGAGGCAGGCAAAGCAGTCACTAGCCAGTTATGACACTGATTTCCAAGCCAGCATGCCACATTTCTTCATTAAGAAGTTATTCGAATCCCATGTGCCTCAGTTTCTTAACCAAAGAACATATACAGAAGTCTTTAGATGCTCTATTTTACTTGTTTCAAAATGTCTTCTCAAAAGATTAAAAGCTGTGAAAGGGCAAAAATCTCACTTAACCTAAATGCTTCATTTATCTGATATCATCAGAAAACAAGGTTGCTATACAAAAGCAAATTTTCAAAATAATTGAAGTATCTCTTTGAATGCCAAACAGGTACTACCTTATTTTTGATGGCTAATCAGTCTTTTACAAAGAGATTACATGGGATGTAATTCAACCTTTTGATGACTCAAAATCTCTATGAAAAATTTCTCCACTGTATCCCTCCTTCAGGATTAATTCTAGCTGCTGCTTCAGTCTGGACTGTTAATCTTTCACCTGGACCAACACAAGGATACCTTAACTGGTTTCTTCCTCACTTTTCCACATTACTGCCAAACAAGACTTTTCTAAAAATAAGAAAATACATTCAACAGTAACCATGTGGCACTGGAAAATCTTATGGATTATGGATGTAAACTACTTTTTTATCTTATTCCACCTCTCTGCCACTGTCCATCCTGTTTCTTCAATCCCTGTCTAAACCGCTTCCGTTCAACTGCTTGGCTTTACATGCATTTCTTTTTCCTGCAGAGAAGTACAGGGCCTACTTTGGCCTTTTAGAGAAAAATCTACGTTTAGATACAGTGAAGTCAGACTTCAGAAAAACAGGTCTTTCTTGCCCCACACATCATTAATGCAAACCAGTCCAATAGACTCCTGAGTATGTGTTACAAAGTGTAAAACCAAGGGGGACGCTTTATAAATGTGTTACAATGCTGCCTAAGTTCCTAGCCCCCTTAACCAATTTGGCTGCACACCCTTAACATCCTGTTACATGCTACAACTTCAGGGTAGCTAGTTTGATTTTGGTGTCTGGATATGGGGTGGGGTGGGGGCTACAAAGTGAACATAAGACAAAAGGACATAAGAGACAGTTCACAAATGGTAGCAAATCATCAACAGTCTATGAAAAATATTTTCAACTTAACTAGTTTTCCTTTTTTGAATTACAACAGTAAGACACCAGTTATCTCTTACACTGAAATGGACAGATGTCTTCTTAAATAAGAATCAAATAATGGGTATCTGAAGGAGACGCTGACCATGATTTTAAGAAAATGATTACTTGCTCCATCACCAGCAATGGTAGGGCACACTGGAAATATACAGCCAAAACCTTATAATGGTAGAACATTTGTCCAGCAATTCTGTGTCTAAAAACTTATTCTAAAGAAATAGTCATTGACACACTCAAAAATCTCTGTTCATCACAGCATCGATTACCAATAGTGAAAGACTGCAAGCCATATAAATGAATAGAGGAGGAACTGGCTAAACAGACTATGTGGTATCTGTGAGTAGCAGGCAGACAATAAAATTATGTTGCCAACATATCATTAAAAATTATTTTTCATCATATTAGGATATGCAAGCTATAAGAAGTAGGTACATATTTGTATGGTTCCATTTAAAGTACAAAAGCAATCAAAGCTCTGCAGTTACAGATTAGGATAGTGGTTACCATTTGGCAGGGGTGGGACAGAACAGGAAGGAAGTTTCTGGGGTGTTAGTAGTTTTCTTTTTAAAAGTGAGCACTATTTAGTTTTTTGTTGTTTTTTTTTTGGTACCAGGGATAGAACTTGGGACCTTGTGCTTGCGAGGCAGGTGGCGGCACCACTGAGCTTTAGTTTGGGGGAGGGGGGGGGTAATTCAGTTTGTGAAAATACATCAAGCTGAACAGTTACATGCATGAAAAAAATGAGTATTATACACCAATAACGTCTTTTAAATATAATAATTTTCCCTAAATAGGTATCATCTGGACAGGCTTTCAAAGATAGTCTGGAAGAACAATTTTAGTCTCAATTCATTCAAATTGCCAAGCATCTCCTATGTTCACTGTGCTAGACTGCAGAGAACAGCAAGGAAGATCTTCATAAGGTCAGGAATAACTCACAACCCTAGCAAGCTCCACAGGGCAATGAACATTTCTTTTCTTTAATATGTAATATATCCTGTGAGTCTGGCAACCTGCTAGGCTCTGCACTGAGAGAAGACATCCTAAAGTACATTAAAGCTAAGGTGACTGTTCAAAATAACCCCAAGGAGTCTTAAAAAAAAAAAATCAGACAAAATTTCACTCATCTGCATGCTCTTGAATGACGTCAATTAGAAATAGGCAGAAATTTTCAAAATGAGAAAAACGCATAGGTCTATCAAAGATCTAATGTAAAGGACAGTCACCATTACACCACTATGTGTGCCCTTGCCAACTCCAGATACCTCCCAAAACACAATGGCACAGCCATCAGCCACCACCCTACTACCACTTCTCTGTAAAATTCATGGCGTGCTTACTACAAATTAAGCACTATTCTAAGTGTTTTATTGAATCTTAACTGTACAGAATCGTTTAATAAGCAAGGAAACTGAAGCACAGAGATACAATTAGCACACAGGGATAATTTTGGAAGAACCAGCTCCAGGCAAAATTGCAAAGCAAGCTCAATTTGTTTTTGACCTATACACCCTTTGCCTGTCTCCTATTAACAGACCTGAAAGCAGGGACAAGACACCCACTGCAACACCTACCACTCCCAAGTATTTGAGTGCATAAACTCCTTTCCTTTTTATTTGATTTCTCCCCAAATAATCTACAAAGAAGCGCCTTTTGGAGGGATTACTTTTTAAACAATTAACCATTAAATAATCCCTGCTAAGGTATTACCAAAACCAGTACGTGGAGATTAAAATAGCCTCTAAATTCCCTAGGGCAAATGGTTATCGCCTCTATTTTTCTAATGGTTCCTGCAGGTGGGCTGGATTCCACAGGAGGCAGCTTTGGCCTCACCAGTTGCTCGCCCAGACTGGTTTCAGCTGGCTAAGGCAAACCACCAAATTAGTAAAGCTACCCATCCTGGTAATCAAGTGACTCACTCAATTCCTTGCTCAACTGTCACCTCTACAAAGTGGTCTTCCCTGATCAATCTGTTTAAAATAGCAGCCCATCATTCTTTATCCTCTCACACTGCTTTATTTTTATTCCCCATACTATGACTATCCCATGACATTTGTAATTACTTCCTGACACTGCATGAGGGCAGGTTCATTACAGTGCAGCACTGCTGTAACTCCACACCTACATCAGGAGCTTGCCAGAGAAAGCTCTCAAACGTCTGCTGCACTCACTGCCAGCCAGAGGGCTTTGTTTTTTTTGTTGTTGCTGTTGTTTTTTGGTACCAGGGATCGAACTCAGGTCCTTGAGCTTGTGCAGCAGGCGGTGAAACCACTGAGCTAAATCCCTGGCCCTGTTTTTTTTTTTTTTTTTTTTTTTAACATTCAAGAAGGTAAGTCACCTTTTCAAAAAAAAAAAAAAAATACTGCTTTAAGAGTAATGATGGAGACAGAACAAAACTAAATTTTAATAATTGTAATCTGGGAAGAATACTTAGCAAAATCTTGGGATTTTCTTTCTGCTTAGGCTCAAAATATTTTAAATATGAGAGCACAATGGGAAAAGAAACCGTGGGAAAGTTCACAATCAAAATGCTTCTATTTTTAGTTTTGAAAGTGCCAAAAGGGGAAAAAAGAAAATGAGTCTGTTAGATTTAATTAAAATATCCTATTTATTATCTGATCAGATGGAGTATCATTCAACGTCAAAGTTAATTTTTATAAGCAGTATTGTTCTTCTCCCCCATGTTTCTTTAATCCAGCCTGTTCTAACTGGAACACTAAAGAGAGAGGAAAAACGTGTTTTAAACTAAGAAATTGCCTGGCAGGTCAACAAGGATTTAAGCTTGAATGCGGGCTTTTTGTGTTTTACTGAACCTTAAAAGACTGTTAAAGTCATAAATATTCTAAGGATGTTCTGCAAGTAGATTTCAGGATTCATATTTTTAAAAAAGCAACCTATAAAACACAATCCCAGCAGATGTTATCAAGCATCATATTTATGGCACTTTGGTCAGCCCTGTTAATAAAAGCATAAAAAAGAAAACTTCAACCATTTAACAGGGTAAATGGACTGTAGTACTGTATTTTCACGAAATCACTTAAATAGTGTTTAATTCTATTCAGGTCACACGAGTAACCTTTACAAAGAGCTGGTGGTTTGCCTAATAAAAGAAGTTGTTACTAAAATAACTCCAATATAATCTCATATGAGATAGTTTTGAGGACTGCTAAATACTTTGTAAGTAAAAGCTCTGAGCCATCTAAGGAACTGCAAATACCCAACTTTTGGATAAGAAAACAGCTGTTTTGGGGAGCGATGTCAAGAAAAAAAAAATCCCAATGCAGTTTTAAAAACATGAGTATTACCTCATTTGAAAAACGGTTTTCTAGGTCTCTTTATATGTCAGCTAAGTACTTAAAAAAGAAGACAAGAAAAACGGGAGCCTAACGGTGGCGGAACCCGTCGACAAAACCCACTGGGAAGCTACAGTGGGCAGACTATTCTATTAGGCGAAAAGAACAAAGATTCCATTCCCACGAGATTATGTTTTAGAGCAAATAGGAATTTCCACATCTACTTCATTAGCAGGCTACGTGATCAAAACTCTCAGGAACTCCACTCACAGCTGTGCCCTATTTCACGTCCAGATTTACTTACTCAGCTTACACCACAACCAACACAAAATACAGGGTACGCTCTCAGTAAAGTTACTCCTTAAAGGCAAACTCGGCACCTTTGTCGCAGAAGCACCAACACTACCCTGGGCAAGGAGACTTCCAAGATCCACAACTTGGAGCAGCGGCCCGCACAGCTCCGCGGCTGCAGAACTGTCCCGGGGGACAGACGCGCCCCCGAGCTTGCCCGACGTGGGATGAAAAGAGCCGTTTGTTCTGCTGCTGCGGGACTGCCGTGCCCGCCCAGTATCCCGCGGGGCTCTCCAGGTCGGGACCCGCCTCTCGTCCCACCTCCGCCCGGACCTCACCTGCCGGGCCGGCCCCAGAGGAGCGGGCGGGCGGCGGGGAGCGCAGCCGCAGCCAGAGGTGCAGCGCGGCCCCAAGCACACACGGGCACAGCAGGACCAGCCAGTTTCGCATTGGCCGCCCTGCCGGTTCCACCTCGCGCCCCCGCGGCGCGCCGGGCTCGCCCGCGTCCTGGCCGAGACCGAGGGGGCTCGCTAGAGCCGATCCCGACGGGCGTCACCGGCGCCCGCGCGATCACTCCGGCGCCCCCGCCCTGCGCCCAGCGGCGTCCGGCCCGCTCCACTCCAGTCCGCGCCTCAGGTTCCTCCGACCGCGGGCGGCGGCGGCTTAGCGGCCGAGGCCCCGCCTCCCGCGCGTGTCCTGCCCGCTGCTCCGCCCATCTTTTCCTCCCCGCCTCTCGCTCCTCCCCGCAGCTCGTGTCCCCGCCGGTGCCCGCCGACCGGCGGGAGCTGGAGTCCCGCGCTGGGCCCAGGCAGGGGGCGCGCCCGGGATCCCGAGTCACAAAAACCACAACTCCCAGAAGTCCACGCGCGCCCCGTCACGCAGCAGAGGCGGAGCGCGAGGCGCTGACGGAGCATGCGCCCGCCTCCGCCCGCCACTGCCCCCGGCGGTTGAGAGAGGCATTGCACACAGGGAGCTTGCGCACGCATCCGAGCACCACTGCCCCCGAGGCCAAGGCTAGACGGTGCATGCGCACTCCTCCGCGCACCCTGTACCCTGGCGGTAGAGAAAGGCTCTGCGGCGCGTGGAGGGGAAGTGGCCCTGAGGCTAGGTGATGGACACCAGGGGGGCTCCCCTTCAAAGCGACGCAGAGCTCGTGCGTGCCCAACACCGCTTTCTCCCCGCTGACGCCGGCTTGGCGCGGGGTGGGCGGGTGCTGTGCCCGGTTAGGTTCTCCAGGGACGCGGAAGACGGCTGCGCGGGTACCGCGTGGAGAGCGAGTGTCTGGGGCTTGGACTGCCGCGCAGTGGGGAATCTGGGGGCAGGGATGAGAATGACCCGGACTGCGGGTCGATTCAGAAAAGTTCCCACAAATTAGGGGGAAAGAAGGTGCTGTTGATATAAGAATGATACAAGGACCTCCAAATTATATAAGGGAAATATAACACCCAACCTGCTAAATGTCTGATACACCGAGTTCACATTCTTTAAAATCGAAGAATGAATTTTAGGAACAAAGGAGGTTAAGAGTAGGAAATATTTATTGGGGACTAGACAGCTTCTCCCTGAGAGGGACAGAAGGAGACCCAGAAAGTGGGTTGCCCACAAGCCCAGTTCTCAGAGTTTTGTAGAGCAAAAATCACTAGGTGAGCACCAGGTGGGGCAAAACTGTGGTCAACCAATAAGATTAGTTGCTTAGGTAATATTGATCCAATGGGGAAGCAAGACACCTAGCAAGTGTACATGGAAAGGACAAGGACCTTTCCTGGGAGGGATGGATCGGGAGGTCTTGGTCCCCCACCCAGGGTAACTGATGCCTATTTAAAATATCAACCATTATTGGTTATTCCTTGGAGAAGCATATAGGTATAGTCATTCCATCTATATCTTGAGGCCTGGCTTTCAACAAATGTGCCACTGGGCACAGTTGTAATGTGTTTTTCTCATCTGCACCAACTTTGAGGGCCCAGCCCTGTCTGCCTATAATATTTCTATCTAACTTAGCTGTCTGTAATACTGCGACCCTGTGGGGTGGGAAGTGTGGGTTCCCAGAGCATCCACCTCAAACACTGGAATGTGACTGGAGAGTCCAACAGTACCCAGGTGTCAGTGGCATTTTTTAGTGTAAGCAAAGCAGTCCTCTGTTAAAGTTAACTTATTGAGTGTTTTGTAATGTTTGTTGTACTGTTTTTAATTTTAAAATATATTTGGTTTGGTTGTATATAAGCATAAGGAGTTTATACTGTTGTTTGTACTTAACTAAAATAATAAAGATAAGTTAACTCATTTCAAGCCAGAAATATTTTTTCCTTTAAAATGAATCCATTATGTACGTTATGTGTTGGAAATCCAAACTCTTAAAACAACAACAATCATTTTTTATCTACCTCTTTATGGAATTCTTGGGAGCTAAGTTTTGTTTTGAAGTCTCTCATTTATAAAGTTGCAGGTAGGGACCGGGGATTTAGCTCAGTGGTTTTGCCACCTGCTGTGCAAACTCAAGGACCTGAGTTCAATACCAAAAAAAAAAAAAAAAGTTGCAAGCAGATGGCAGCTGAGGCTGCAGTGGTCTGAAGATTTGATGGGCTGGAGAATCCACATCCTAGATGGCTAGCTTACAGGCAGATACTCATGAAGCCTTAAGAAGCACTCTGTCATGTCTATGTTAGTCTGTTGGTCACACAGAGCAGCCCGCATTCACTGTGGAGTAAATACCAGGAGGCAAGGATCAATAGGAGCCACCTTGGAGGCTCAAATATGAGAAGACAGTACTGTTTCTCAAGTTTGAAGTCCATAGGGTCCCTACATATTCTCAAAGGGTCCTGAAGACAGGAAGGAACACTTTTTTTGTGTGTGGGAAACATGAAATTAAAAGATTGATCATTGTGGCTTTTGGGCAGATGTTACCAAGATCTGCATGCCTCTTCCCTGGTCATTGTATATACATCGCCATAAGGCAGAAGAGTACTTAATGTCTACAAATTTCTTGTTAAAATTTTCTCTTTGGGGCCGTGATTTAGCTCAGTGGTTCTGCTGCCTGCCTCGAAAGCACAAGGTCCTGAGTTTGATCCCTGGTACCAAAAAAAAAAAATTTCTCTTTGTTTGGAAACTACACTGAATTCTTTCTGCATTCAAAGAAACTGTCAAAAGAGTAATAATGGATTGTCACAGTATACTACTTCTATCCTAAAGAAAGGTAGTAAGAGCCTTTTGATATCTAAACATTTTCCTTTTGTGAGTAGATATTAAAATGAACTGAGCATGGTGGTATATATCTGCAGTCCCAGCTACTTGGGAGTCTGAGGCAGGAGGATTGCAAGCTCAAGGCCACCCCGGACAATTTAGCAAGACCCTGTCTCAAAGAATTTTTTTTAAAGGGTTGAGAGTGAAGCTCAGTGGTAGAGCACTTGCTTAGCATCCGTGAGGCCCTGGTCTGAACAGCACTTCAAAAGAAAAAAAAAATGACACCCCCCCCAAAAAAAAATCATTCCTAATTTTATCAGATCCATTAACAAATACTTACCCAGCATCTACTATATGCCAGGCATTTTTGTAGTACTTTATATATGTGAATGAATGAAACAAAGCCCTATCTTGTTAGAAGGTAAGTGTAATGGAAAACATAAAAGTAGAGCAGGGTAGGGGAATTGTGAGTATGGGACTGACATGGGGTAAAATTCAGTTTTAAATGATATTTAAACATTTTCAAAGTTCTAATTATAATGCCTGGCCTAAATGAGACTGCAGCAAACCTGCTGCAGAAAACAACAGGATAGAGCCATGCTATCTTTGACAAACAGAATAAATGGCCATGAAGAAAATTTGGGACAAGATGGTGCTGGAGTTTCCAGTATTACATGAACACCTGCACTGACCATCTTTGGACCCTCAATCATAAACATTCCACTCCAGATTCCTTAGGATTATAGCCCCTTTCTCAGAACCTACAAAAACTTAGTTTCTCTCCCAGCTAGCTGCTAGAATCATTCAGAATCTCAGCCCTGTCTGCATCCAGACAATAAATTCAAACTTTTCTCATAAAGCCTGTGTCCAAGAGGCCTCTCATGTGCCATTTGGAACACTAATGAACACTAAAGATAGGAATAAACAAAACCATGCCAATGTCTAAACTAACCAAAGGGTTGCTCCTTCCTTTGGCACTCTGACAGGTGTATATCCAAAATATTTTTAAATAACTTTTTTTTTTAGCATCCTTCAAATACATGACAGTGAGAGCAACCTTGTCCTAGTAATGTTTTTGCTGGGACAAAACACCTGATACTCACCAGTTAAAGGAGAAAAGGGTTATTTTAGTTCAACCGTGTAGAGGTTTCAGTCTGTAGTTGGCTGGCTCCAAGACAGGTGGCATGGCAGAGGAAAAACAGTTCATGGCATGACAGGCAGGAAGCATTGAGACTTCTTTCTTCTTTCCCCTTTTATTCTACCCAGCCACAAGCCTGTTTGTTGGTGCCACCCACACCCACGGTCGGTCTTCCCTCTTCAATAAATCCATCATCATCTATACCCAGAACTATGCTAAATTAATCGATGGACTAATCCAATATCAGCCTCCCATTATCAAGTATCACATTCATGATCCAATCACTTTCAAAAGCCTACCTATGAGGGTTTGGGAAGATATCTACAGATAAGCCTTAACAAACCTATATTACCTATTGATAGGACCAGAAAATCTTCCACTTACCTGATGTCTACTATCCCCTGGTAAACTCAAGACTAAGTTAAGTAAAGATTGTAGGAGACAGTATGTATAATTAAATCTTTAAAATCTAGCAATGATATAAAGTCTGTACCATCAAGGTACCCATAGTTTAAGAGGGAGACAAGCTAACAAAGAATTAGAATTAGGGAGAGTCAAACTGGGGTGGTTGGTCATCCTAACTGGGGTTCAATGTGATTGGAAAAAGGAATGCAATAAGGTGTTAGAGCAGTATGAGGCTTCCCAGAGGAGGCTCTCCTAAGAAAACACAGGGCTGGGGCTTGAATCAAAGGACAAAGGACACTCAAGAGCACCCTAAGCAAAAGCAAACAAACCTACCCCACAAAACCTGAGATAGTGAGAGCATGGCTGTTCGGGAAATATAAGCAACTTGGCACAACCTCAGTGCAAATGAAAAGAGGGGATGGTGAGGTGACTGGAAAGCAGAGGCTAGTTCATATATAATGTGCTAAGGAATTTAGATTTGATCTTGAAGCCTCAGGGAAGAATTTTCTTTTTGATACAAAATCAATATGTGATTATGAGGGAATTTGGAAAGTATAGACTAGTGGTGGCAAACCTATGGCACAAGTGCCGAAGCAGGCTGTTTGTATTATTGAAAGCTCTAAAAGGTTTGTCATCACTGGTATAGACTATAAGAAGAAATTAAATCATGCTAAATACAAATCACATATTTTCTTTAAAAAAACCATACTGTAAATAAGAATTTATACCCATTTATTTTCACCTATTCTATAAGCATTTTCCCATTAAAGTAGTAGTTTTAGAAAATATAATTTTTAATCAATCATTCATCTGCACTATAATTTCTTATCTGGTATCCTATTATTGGATGTACAAGTTGTTTCCATTATTTCA